AAAATCTGGTGTCGGTCCCTTTTGCTTGCTTCTATAAGGAGGCAAGCAGGCTTATAATTAACAATACGCTGACGTTGCTACGGAGTTTGTAGCGAAGCGCGTGGCTACGAAAGGAGTCGAAATCGGCGTGGTTTTATACCATCAACTATTAATTTGTAGCGCAGCTGTAACTTCTTGCACCATGTTTGGCAACGTTTTAACAAGGGAAGCAGTATTCTTCGGTTGACACTTTGAAAGTTTTCAGGTCCTTCGTTTAACGTTTATATATATACCTGCTGATCTTTAATTAAAGTATAACTCATCCGACTAAGCGCGAACGGTGGTGCTTAAACGATTTACTGAGTACGATTGTCTAGATAGTCGGCACTTTTTTTCGTAGATGGAATGCAGTGACGATCACTGTTATGGAGAAAATGATGACCAAAAACCTTCCGAAAAGTATATATTAGTGTTTTTCACGATGCTGTTCTTATTTTTTTGCCGCATTCAGTTTGGAGGAGTTGAACTACCTTAATCAATTGAAGTACATTTTGGAAAATGGCAAGAAGAAAGCTGACAGAACCGGCGTTGGATCAGTATCTGTCTTTGGCTTACAGAGTCGGTATAATCTGAGGAATGGTGAGGTTTTATTGGCGTAAGTGTTTTTTCGGCATTGGATGTAATCACTTCAAGATTCGTTTCCATTATTTACGACAAAAAAGGTTTTTTGGAAGGGAATCATCGAAGAATTGCTTTGGTTCATTGCCGGGCGAACCAACTCGAAACTGCTTTCTGAAAAAGGCGTTCGTATCTGGGACGCCAACTCTTCTCGCGAATTTCTAGATTCAGTGTCACTTCAGCATTATGAAGAGGGTATTTTGTTACACTAAGGGTTGTTAAGCCACGTTAAACTCGCTAATTCAGGTGACCTTGGACCTGTCTATGGCTTCCAGTGGCGACATTTTGGCGCCGAATACAAGGGTATGTATCAGTGTTACGATGGGCAGGGGGTTGATCAATTGCGGCAATGCATTAACCTGATCAAACACGACCCGATGAGCAGGCGCATTATGTTAACGGCTTGGAATCCATGTGGTAAGTGCAATTATGTAATCGTCGAGTTCTTGTGCAAAGGTGCGGCTCTCACCCCTCCCTTTATTCCTGATACTGAACTGTAATGTTTAGTTTTTATTTTTACCTCCCATCACAAGCGGGAGGTAAAAATAGCTGAAGAACAGCAGGAAGTTGTTATCGCCCATAAGAATAAGGCCACGTAAAATACTCCACTACTGCAACCGGCATATTTTTCGAGCATAAATCTTTTCTATATTATTTTTATATTTCTGTTTTGATCGTGAAAAAATTGTCATGTTCCTTTTGTTGACCTTTAATCGGTTAAACGAGATAAGTGAAACCAAACTGCTCAAAAGCATGAGCAGGTCTTCGGTTGATCCGCGTGTCTTGATACCCTTTCATTCATATTTTGGAGGATAACTTGCAAACTCGAGGGGTAATAAAGAAACACTTCTCTTTCGAAGTTTCCTTATACGATTCAGTAACCGATGACTTGTAACTAAAGTGTTAAAATGCTGCTGATACATCGGACTTCACAAACCAGAGATGTTCTGGTTTTGCAGGCTGTTCAGAGTGATAGCGTCAACATGCACAGCAAATAAACTCATTTTAAGATGTTAATCCATGGCTGAGTGCACCAACCAGTGAACTACTTTTGCTTGTCTGAGACCTCCACCGCGCAGCGAAAAAGAAAAGCTACTTGTTTTAAATTGACATAGGGCCGCAAACATCAAATCAGTTCGACAGCATTTTAAATGTTTTGGACGGTTTTAGCTGTGCATTCGCATTTTCGATGAGAAGACATGCTTTTCAACATATTTGCTTGAAGGTATTGATTGTGTTTAATTTTGATTATCCGTTCGTCATTTTAAACAGTCCGCTGTTCTTTTCGAATAAAGGCATGGGAGAGGGGCGACAAAAATTTTTTAAAAGATCCGGTGCTACACCCATCTGTCAATCTTCGCGGATTCAGTGATTGTAGTATTAAATATAGTTTTATTATTAATTGCTGCTTTTCAGACTTGTCGAAAATGGCACTGCCCCCATGCCATTGTCTTGTGCAGTTTTACGTCGCCGATTCCGAACTTTCCTGCCAGATGTATCAGAGAAGCGCAGACATGGTTGAGCATTTAGACGACTCATGTTTTCTACGACCAGCATTTGTTTTTTATCTTCTTCAGGGCTTAGGAGTGCCTTTCAACGTTGCCAGTTATTCGCTGCTCACAAGAATGATCGCAAGCATTACTGGATTGAAGGCAGGCGATTTTGTCCACACAATCGGCGATGCTCATGTGTATTTGAATCATGTGGATGCCGTGAAACAGCAGGTACATGTTCGAAAGTCGGGAAGTATGAACGTCATAGCCTCTTAACTATTGAATGTAAAGCGAAGGTAAAAAATGTCCTGTTATAACAAGATCATCAGACAATCGTAGTTATTTTCAACATTAATAAATCACAAACATGCACCGATTAGTGGACAAATAAATAACATTGAAGCTAAAGCAAACAGAACTTTAAGCCAAATCATGAATAAAACTGTTGTAGCTGGGCTGCCGTATACTACATAAAATGAGCCGAAATAGATTACATTCGCAGTTCAAGTCTGTGCAAATGTTCTTTCCCACACAGGAGATGCATGCTAATTTTCCTTCGAATACAGAACGATCGCGATTACTACATTTTTGTGATGATCTTCTTTCGCGAAGTCGTCACCCTGATATCAGAATTGAAATTTTAGATTCATGGCAAGAAGATGACAAACAAAATGCTTCATCTATTCCGACAGAATGCGTTGCATATTAACGGCTGTTCCCATCTTTTTCCTGTATGTTAAGTATACTTATGGACTGGCAGGATACAGTGCACTGAACCATTCATTATCGACCCATTCTTCTGTACGTGAGTCCTTGAAAATAGCTTTCTGTTTCGTATGCACAACAACAGACGAATCTTGTTTTAATTCTAGCTGCAGTTGCGATAATCATTTGCTGCCTCCGAAATGTCGAGTTGGATGGCCTTCGTTACATCGTGTTGGATGTATATGCGAAATAATCCGTAGTGTGTTCTTGTTTCTTCACGTGAGCAGAGTATTATTGCAACAGTAAAAGCGAGACTGATATAAAATTAGTTAGGCTAAAAACAGCAACAGGGACTAAGTCTTCTGTTGATTATCACATTGAAATAGCTATCAGGTGGATTACGGTAAATTGCAGCTTTTTGAGACGCTTGTATCAGACCGTATGGGCATATCTGTAGCCCATTAAGGTATGACCACACGAGAATATCATGATGTCCCTGCTGTTCGTAAGTCAGCGACTTGCTACCTGTTTCTCAGCTAGTTGCATTGAGGCAAGAATGTCGCTCAAAGAAATTCGCAGTTAACACTAAATTGGTCGG